TCGGCTTGCTCTGCCCCTCGGCCATTGGGCGGCGGCGGGAGGCCGGGCAGGAGGCAGGGCGGGGACCCAGTCACCTCCCGGGCAAGAGGTGGGTGGGGCTGGGGGACTGGGGAAGACTGGGCCGGACCTGCCAGGTGACAGGTGCTTGTGGCACCCAGGTCCCTTCGGTCCGGCCTCCTAACTATTAACCTCCTTCCTCCCTGCTACGTTTTGCGGACAGGTGAGACGGAGGAGGCGAGCTCAAGGGAAGAAGGGGGTAGAGGTGGTCTTCCAGATCCGGAGGCTCGGCGTGAGTTCTTTCAGAGAATTCCAGCGGAGAGAGGGAGGAGTCGTTGGGCTCTGTAGAAAGAGAATGAAAGGTCTCCAGGTTTGCAGAAATAAGTATCTGATCCGAAAAAACGAGGCAGAGAGAACTCAAGAGAGGGGCTTTTATATCCCGGGAGGCTCGATTCAGAACAGATCTCTCTTACCTGGAGGAGAAGACCAGGTTCGGGGGTCCCTTAGGCTCTCTGACAGGGGCCTGGCTATGTCCTACCAAATTAAACGACACGGTGATGGTCCCCAGAGAGCCTCCATTGGGCCCTATTTTTCACAAGATGCATGCCCGGTCTGGGGTAGTAAGTTTCTCACTGAAAATCTCCAGATACCCTTTGTGGACTAAATCCCAGGGGACACACTCCTCTTTTATCCAAGGCACGAGTTCCTTTGTGATATTTCCACATTAGGATGATTATGTAACTTCCCAGATAAAGTTGTATCAACATCCCTCTATTAGGTGACATCCTTGGCTGAAGCGTTCTATTGTGTGAATCACAGGGTGTCCTACACCGGTAAGCAGGGAGCGTGTGTGACCCACTACAGGCCCAGAGAGGCCCTCCGAGGCTCCCTCCACGCGGCTGTTAGCTGTGTGGCCTGGAACATCACTGCGACTTTTGTGTCTTAGTTTTCCCTTCAGGGACCAGAGCTAATCTAATCGCAGTGGCCAGGGAGAATTACCTGGGCCCGCCTGCAAGCCCCATGCCTATCCCCTGTGGAGGTGGTTCTCTGAGTTAGAGGCTCACGAGCCTCCAGTTGGAGCTCCTGTTTTTGCTCTTGTTCACCCATTTTAGCTCAAAATCACACCTTTTTTTTTTTTTTTTGAGAGGTTTTTACTATAGGGCCGTGCGCTTGCCAGACAGACAGAGACAGAGAGACAGAAAGCGAGAAAGCACCCCCCAGGGGGGATGGTCACGCCACAATCCCTTCTCCTCCATTCTCCTCTTCGGATCTTGGGCACGCATGCACACGCGCCCAGCGTGAGTTTTAAGCCACTGGGTCCAGGACGCAAACCGCAGTCGACTACGTGGGAGTCCAGCGACATAGCCATTAAGCTAACTGCTGGCTCCCAAAATCACACCTTTTTGATTACTTTAAAATACTAGGCAGTTATAGGAAACTCTTGACATTTAAAAATTATTTATTTTTACTTATTCATTCATTTAACTTGATGAGAGAGAGAGAGAAAGCCACTGGGTCCAGGACTTGAACCATGGTGGCCATGTGGGAGTGTCCAGTACCTCAATCACCACACTACCTGAAACTCTTGATATTTTAAAGCATACTTTGGTATTACTTTAATTTCTGGGGATCTGGTATAGGGAAAAGGCATTAAAGTAGTTCTTTATCATTAGTTAAGCTGAGAGTGATTCAATGCATCATGGCAGTTAAACAGGCAGAGCACTGGGTTCAAATCCTGCCTCTCCCATAGACTAGCTGGATGACTTGGGGGACATTACCAAACTCTATGGCTTAGTTTCTTCATCTGTGAACCAGAGATGATGATGATGATGAGGGTGATGACAATGTCTACCTCAGGTTATTGGGAAGACTAAGCTCGTTTCTGTACTTCCCTTAGAACATACGGTAAGGACTTAATCTACGAATGAGCTGAGCGCCTGCCACTCTGAATCTAGTGGGTGTTTCTTTGTCAAGTTTGCATTCTGTAGAAAAGACAATGAATAAACAAGTTTATGTCAAACATTCAAAGTGTTAGGAAAGGTAATAAAGCAGGTAAGAAAGGAGAGAGACAGGAGGTAGGTTGGTATTACTTACATAGGGTGGTAGGAGAAGGGGCCTCTGGTCAAGTGACATTTGAGAAGACCCCTAAAGGAAGGCAGATGGGCCATCAAGGGCAAGGTCCTCAGGGTGGAGGCGTGGAGCCCCTAGTTGGTACAGGGGCTAGCTAGAGTGAGTGATGTGGTGAGGCAGGGCCTTTACTTGGTGGAGATGGAAAGACACAGAAGTTCCTCAGCAAAGGAGTGACAGCTTGCCTTCTGATGTAGATGCATTCCTCTGGCTTTTTGTGGCATGGCTTTTGTGTGTGTGTGTGTGGGAATTACCTGTAAGAGGGAGGATAAAACAGGACTTAGACTTCCACACCAGTCCCAGTGAGATGTAATGGCAGCTCAGGCTTGGTGGAAGTAGTGAAGATTTAAGAAGCTATGGACCCTTAATAAAGTCCCAGATATTGGGGCCAGCAGATGATGTAGTGGTTATATTCCTGGACTCCCACATGGCTGATCATAGTTTGAGTCCCAGACCGGGTGGCTTGAGAATCACACTGGGTACATGTGTGTGCCCAAGATCCTGAGAGGAGAATGGAGGAGAAGGGATTGCAGCATGGCCATTCTCCTCCCCCCACCCCACAAGGATGATTTCTCATATTCCCTCTTACTGTCTCTGTCTTTCTGTCTCTGTCTCTTTCTGGCAAGCATGAACACCCTATGACAAAAAGCTCTAAATAAATAAATGAAAATAAGTCCCAGTGGGGCCCGCGGGTGGCATGGTGGTTAAGGATGCTGGACTCCTATGTGGCCGACTGTGGTTAGAGTCCTGGACCTGGTGGCTTTCTTTCTCACTTTCCTCCTCTCTCATACTCTGACCCTCCTGGTCAAATTAAAATAAATAAATAAAGTTCAATAAAAACAAATTCTTTAAAAAAAAGTCTCAGCTATTATCATTAGGTACCCCATCATACTGCCTTTCGTGCTTCAGTTTCCTCACTTACAAAGCCTTGGAGTTCGGCTCATTTATCATTCCTCTTGGCTCTCAGAAAGTTCTGATTCCTGAAAAGCTGGGTAAGTACCGTGTCAATTTGAATGGGTTTGAAACTGGGTACTGCTGAATAAAAATAATCTTGGGTTAAATCTTTTTCATAAGTGGTTTCATAGGGTGAAGAATAACAATTTGATTAGTTTTGCAAGAGGGGTTTAAGATATTTGGATGTTTGGAGATGAAATTCTTAGAGATGTAAAATAAATACATACATGCACTGAAGCAGCCCAAAGTATCTTAACAAGGAAAATTGCCTTTTATTCCTAAAATGCTTGATTCCCTCTCAGACAGTCTATAGAATGGTTAATTTTACATATGGAGAGCAGGGAAAGCCTGAATGACTTTTTTATTGTAACTCAACCTGAGGAGGGTCAAACTACTTACAAGGAAACACCATTAGCAAAATAACGAATTATAGAGCTTTACAATTTTTTTCTCAGCTGTATAATGAAGGAGAGGCAAATTTTGTTCCATGTTTTGATTACAGGCATTTGTGTCTAAAAAACATTAACTAAGATTAGGAACTATGAAAAGCAACCATGAAATTTCAAAATAAACATGTTACTACTGAAAACTACTAAAAAGGTTAAAGAAGGAAGGAAGATAGTTAAACAGCTGATTAGCACTGAAAAAAATTATAAACAGGTCTTCGAAGATGGACTTTGCTAAATGATCTTTCCAGATAAAAATAGTAGATTGCTTCCTTTTCTCCTTTCCATTTTATGTTTTATTCAAATGTAT